AAAAAAAAAAAAAAAAAAAAATTTAAAAAGGACGAAACCTTTTTAAATGAGGGGCTGGGGATGTAACAGTGGTAGAGTGCTTCCCCTAGCATGCACAAAAACCCTGGCTTCAAGCTCTAGAACTGCCGGAAAGAAAAAAAGAAATGTTAGAAGAAAATACTACCTCTGTTCACTAAGCTGATATCCAGAATAACAAATGATTTCCATCTTCTAATGAGAACATACAATAATTACTCTTTGTTTAGTTTTGCCTGTTTGTTTGAGACAGGGTTTCACTATGTAGTTCAGTCTGGCTTGGAATTCCCTATGTAGCTCAGACTAGCCTTGAACTCTTGGTGATCCTCCTGCCTCAGCCTTCTGAGTGCTGGGATTATATACACGCTTGGCAGTCTAACAATGACTCTTCACAATATGGTGTCCCAAGTTTAGAACAATAACCACGTTCTCTATTTTCTAATGAAAACACTACTGGGATAAATTATTTTGTTAAATGAAATTTCTCAGAAGACTTCAGGGGTCGGGGAGATAGGTCAGTGGAATAAGCACTTTCCTGGAAAGCGCAAGGGTCTGAGTTCAATCCCCTGTTCTGCCAAAAAAAAAGACAGCGAGGCTGGAAGCTAAGCAATGATCGCTGTGGCTGCAGCCCAGGCAGTGTGCCGTAAGGGAACTACGGAGGCGAAGGATGGACCAGAAACAGACGGTGTGACCTGGGAGCTGCACCACTGAGGCTTCATGGCCTCGGCCTGCAAGGCTTCCACTACAGCCTCACAGAAACACTGCGCCTACACGATGCTAAAAGCCATCAGGTGAAAAGTTGAAATTTTGGTCAACGCAGCTATTCGATTTCATAAAGACCTAAAAAGTCAGCCAAGTGATCAATTTATACTCAAGCTAGAACACTGGGATTCAAGTGAAAACATTTAGGGCATGCAGACGCATGTGGAGTAGAGACGCTGCCTACACGGACAAAATTCTAACTCTCCTGAGTGATGTCGGCCAGCAGGTGTTCTTGCCAACGTTAAGTGCACTCCACCGCCCGTTGCCGCAGGTACTTTCTCTTTGGAATTTCCTGACTTCTCAGTTTGCATTTCAGGATTGAAGGCATCAGTCTTTGCATTTCATTTCCTGGCGCTTTTCTTTTTACTGGGGATGAAACTCAGGACCTTGCTCTTTTTTTTTTTTTTTTTTTTGGCAGAACCGAGGATTGAAAGGACCTTGCTCTTGCCAGGCAGGTGCTTATGCTGCTGAGCTGTCTCCCCCGCCCTCCTGGGGCTTTAGACAAATAAAGAAAGGAGAGCAAAGCAACAGAAAAAAGGAGGGAGAAAGGAAGAAGGGGTGGGTAAAGTAGGAAGAGAAGAGCAAATCGAGAGGAAAATATATTTCCTGAAGCTGAAGATCTGAGGCCTCTCGGTAGCTCCTGGATGCACTGCCTGGCAGTGAGAATCAGGTAGCCACCTTGGTTGAGGCCACGCCCTCGACACCCCAGCCTCAGTCGTCGCCCTCTGCAGCACTGGCCTGGCTCCCCTCGTCTCAGAGGGCCAGACAGGCCAGCAAACCCAAGGTCCAGCCTTTTTTTTTTTCTTCCCTAAGAGACAGCAACATAGTAAAGTGCATGCTGTATTTTTTTAAGGGTAGAAAGTGAACATCCTGGCTTGTGAGATGGCTCAGTGGTCTAAAGCACCTATTTAGAACAAGCTAAGCTAAAGCACAGGGACCGTGGTTCAATCCCCCAGCACCACATGCCAGCCAGCCCTGCCCCCTACTGGGCTGAGCTGGCCACACACACACTCAATAAATAAATAAATAAATAAATAGTTTAAAAAAAAGAAAAAAGAAAGAAAGTGAACATCCTACCCTGGTCATCTCTCTCTCTCTTTTTTTTTTTTTTTTTTTCCAGAGCTGGGGATTGAACTCAGGCCCTTGAGCTTGTCAGGCAAGTGCTTATTCAACTGAGCTATCTCCCCAGCCCTTGGTCATCTCTATTGTACTATTTTCAACAAAATGAAAAACCTAAAGCCAAAAAAACAAAACAAAACAAAACAAAACAAAATAACAACACAAAACTTAAAACACAGTGGATGCAACCACATTCAAACTGGCCAAGAAAAATTTCATCTTTGGTTTGAAACCAAGTGACTTTAGCTAGTTATAAAATGCTGGAGGAATGGGAACAGCAACGGGGAGTGAAGAGAGACCAGGTAACCAGAAGAGACCAGATAACTTGTCACCAGGGGTGCCTTGGCCCATGTGGGCGAAAGGTTCCAGTTTCCAGGAACCAGCAGGCCCTGGGGAGGGGGCGTTTTCGGAGGAGCCTCGGGCCAGGAGCACCAAAGTCATAGGCTAGGAGGGAAGGGAGAGGAGGAGGCAGTCAAAAGAATTAGGGTGTGCTGTGTACAAGCACCTGCCCCCCCCCAACGCAATCACTCTGTGCTGCCAACGTGCACTAATAAAAATGCAATTAATTCATTCATTAATGTATTTGGTCCAGGGTCTCACTATGCAGCTCAGGCTCCTGGGATCCTCCCGTCTCAGCCTCCCCAGTGCAGGGATTACAGGTGTGCGCCACCACGCCCAGACTCTGCCATGGCTCAGCACACCCGGGGGCGGGGTGGTGCAGCATGTATCAATAAAATCTTTTTTTTTTTTTAAATTTTATTTATTTATTTGTGTGTGGCCAGCTCAGCCCACCAGGGGTCAGGGCTGGCTGGCATGTGGTGCTGGGGGATCGAACCGCGGTCCCTGTGCTTTGCTAAGCTTGTTCTAAGTAGGTGCTTTAGACCACTGAGCCATCTCTCCAGCCCCAATAAAATCTTAAAAGGGGTGTGGATGCAGTTTCATGCTTAGAGCAACCCCAGTACCCTTCACACACCTGTTAGAGCTAGAAGGCAAGAGTTGTAGCTCTGTGGGGCAGGTGAGCTCAGCACCTATGGCCCTGAGCTCTGTCCCCAGCTCCCTGCTCCCCAAAGAACTGGAGATGCTGTTCAACTTTCTCCAAACCTAGAGAAAGAAATGTCTAAATTCTTCTATAGACTTTGTGCAATATTGATATCAAAGTCTGATAAAGATAGTACAATAAAAGCCAGGAATAAACTGGGTATCATGGCATATACCTATAATACCAGCACTCAGCAGGCTGAGGCAGGAGAATCACCATAAATTCGAGGTTTGCCCAAACTACCTAGTGAGACCCTGGCTCAAAAAACAGAACCCCAGGGGCTCCGGGGATAGCTCGGCAGTCTAAGCGCCTGCCTGGCAAGTCCAAGGACCCAGGTTCGATCCCTCGTACCACATGCCATGCCTGCCGGCCCCACATTGAGCTGGCCACCAAAACTGGACGTGGTGGCGCGCACCTGTAATCCCAGTGCTGGGGAGGCTGAGATAGGAAGATCACTACAAGTCTGAGCTGTGTAGCGAGACCCTGTATGAAACAAATAAATAAGAAAAATCAAACAAACTAAAGCCAAGAATAGACCGATCTCATTTAAGAAATACTGGTACAAAATATTAGAATGTCAGCAAATGGAATTTTGTTGTATATGAAAAGAATAACGCTGGGGGCTGGGGAGATGGCTCAGTAGGATAAGTGCTTCCCTGGCAAGCAACAAGGGTCTGAGTTCAATCCCCAGTTCCGCGAGAAAAAACAAAAACAAAAACAAAAAAAAAGAATAACGCTGGGCGTGGTGAAGTGCACGTGTAATCCTGGCACTGTGGGAGGCTGAAGCAGGGGAAACCACAGGCTTACGGAGCCAGGCCTGCTGGTGCACACCTGCAAACTCAACATGCAGGAGGTGGCGGCAGGAGGGTCACTGCGAGTCCCAGGGCAGCTGGTGCTACACCAGAGCAAGGCCAGCCGGAACCGCAGAGTGAAATTCCGTCGCAAAAAACTAAAACAAAACAAAAATTTTAAAGGGTTGGGGATGCAGCTCGGTGCAAAGGCACTGGGTTCAATCCCCAGTACTGCAAAATAATAGTAATAATAATGACGATGATAACAATAATAATAACAACAACTAGGACTGAATGAAGATTCTCCCACAAACATAAGATGCAAGTTCAGGGCGGGGCTGTGTAGCAGAGTGCCTGCCCCGTGCCGACAAGTCTCTGGGCTCAAGACAGAAATATGTTCATTATTAATGAGTTACAAGGGAAAAATCATAGGATCGTCTCAAGTTGCTGAAAAATTGCTTTGACAAAATCAAACATTTGATGTTTTTCAAAACTCATATTTACCTATCTTTATATATCTGTACTGACAACATAAAAACAGCTCAAGTAAGCACGTGTGGGAGTGAAACCCTAGAATCATTACCAATAAATAATGTTAAGGTAAGATCAGGCTATTACCATTAGCACCAGGATTTAATTCTTTTGTTTTGTTTTCTTGAGACAGGGTCTTGCTACATAGTTCCAGCTGGCTTCAAACTCATTACATAGCCCAGGCTGGCCTCGAACTCACAGCAATTCTCCTGCCTCAGCCTCCTAAAGGCTGCAATTACAAGTGCGCACCACCACACCTGGCATGAATGAAATCTCAAAACATCAGAAGGGAAGATCTTGCTGGTGCAGTACAGTGGATGGGTGTGTGTAAAAAAGGACTCAGAGAGGTCTCCTTGGTCCTGGTGGAAATAACTCATTGAAGAGTGGCACCATTTAATAAAATATCAGCTGGGGGGGGGGTTAGTGTTAGGGTGGAGAGCTCAGGCTTGAGGACAACTCTCCAGATCTGGCGTGGGAGGAGTCACACCAAAGACGTCACTTTGGGGATCCCAAGCTCCCAACCACCATTTCAAACCATGGACTGGTAGGGCACTTCAGGAGTGAGTGGAGGGGGTGGGAGTCCCTGGTCTGATCCCACACAAGGGGCAGAGGGGGATGAGCCCCCCAAAGCAGACTAGTGGGGAGGTGGCGACCCAGAAGCCGCAAGGAGGCATAGTTTCCAGGTGGCGCCAGTCAGCAGCTGTACTCAAATACCGAAATATCACTTAGGAAAAAGCAGAAAGCTGGCAGCTGGATGTCCTGGGTCGAGGCTGCTCCGAGCTTTGAGGAAAGGAAGGTGGCACAGCCCAGGCAGACGCATGAATGCAATGCACCTTCCACACGATGAAACAGGGTCTTTTTTGAGACAGGGTCTTGCTATGCAGCTCAGGCTGGCCTTGAACTCACTCAGTAGGCCAGGCTGGTCTCAAACTCACAATCCTTCTGCCTCAGCCTCCTGCCATGGCTGCCATGAAATCTTTAAGTTGTAAATACTCCCTGTGTTTGGATCACCTCCTGTAGCTTGTTTAGGGTCATACAGAGGATGATGACAGCTCAGGGTAGACCTAGACAGCGTGTGTCCAGAGCCCACACCAAGAAAACCACCCTAAAAGTGGGAAAGATTAAAGTCCGAGCAGGCAGCAGGGATTGTGATTAGTAGCCTGCTCCTTTCCACACAAATTCTTCACCAACTCTTGGTGACAAATCTTTATCACACTTAAGCATCATCTTTTTGTGTTGTTGCTTTTTTTTTAAATGCAAGCATGCTTTTTAAAAAAATATTTATTTATTTATTTAGTGTGTGTGTGTGGCCAGCTCAGCCCACCAGGGGGCGGGGGCTGGCTGGCATGTGGTGCTGGGGGATTGAACTGCAGTCCCTGTGCTTTGCTAAGCTTGTTCTAAGTAGGTGCTTTAGACCACTGAGCCATCTCACCAGCCCCAAGCATGCTTTTTGAGCTCTAAGAGCAAACACAAAACGCATGTACAAATTCCAGTATTTCCAGGTTAACCCACGAACTGCCTCAATCCTATGATCTGTAATTCTAGCCGAGAGGGAGACTGAGGTAGGATACTTATTAGTTTGAGTTTTGTCGGGGATACAGATCCGTGGTAGGGCGCCTCAAGATTCTCAGCTAAACTGAGAAAAGCTAGGCCACCAGTCATGACACCTACCTGTGGTCAGCACTGGGCCGGGGTCTCGCGGTTCCCCGCCTTCTGCTCACAACCCCGGGGGGTGGGGACTCAGGCAGGGGCGGCGGCGGCAGTGGCGGCAGCGGTGGGCGGCGTCCTCTCTGGGGTCCACGGCCCTGGATCCCAGACGCGCATCCTGCGTGCTCAAACGTCCTGCGGGGCTTGGGTGGGGGACTGCGCTGCATCTTGCGGGCCAGGCCGGGCGCAGAGTAGCAGGTCCCAGGCAGCTGCGGGTCCAGGCCCGCCGAGCCGTCCTGCAGGGCCCGCTCCAGCCGCTGCACCTGGGTCAGCACTGTGTGCGGGTCGGGGCCTGGCCAGGTCGCCCCCAGCCAACGCGCCCCAGCTCTGCCTGCACCCCGGCCTGGCTCGGGTACCTCCTGCGCCTCCTCAGCCTGCAGCGCGCGGGGCTCAAGCACTTGGGGCTCCGGGGGCTTCTCCTGCACGCCGGCCCTCTTCCTGCCCTCCCACTGGCAGATCTTGTCCTTGATGCTGCGGGGTCTCCTGCTGGCCTCCCGGGAAGCCAGACCTGGGACAACCAGGTCCCCGTTGGAGCCCGGCATGTCCACCACTGCCCCCAGGTCGGGGACGCACCCCGGGGGCTCCTGCCGAGGGGCGATTCCTGATGGTCTCCGGGAAGGGAACTGGGGCTTCCTCAGCCTTCGCACCTCGTGCCTGGGTCCTGCAGCATAAAGAAACAGGACTGCTGGTGGAGATTCACGAGGACAGGGCTGTGAGCAGTACGCGTTGGCTGCGCATCTTAGACACTGAGCCAGCGCGGCAAAGACAGTCATTTTCTGCTTTTCCGGGGAGACAGCACCGGGGAGGAAGGGAACAGACTGACTTTGGAGTCCAGGAAACGTGGGTCTGACCCCCAAGTGAAGCCTTGGCCAGGAGTGTGCTGTGTGCAAGGTTGGGTCCACCAAGCTGCAACTTCCTGCTTGGCTACATGGGGATAAGGGTAATCACAGATGTGGTGGTGTAGTCTGCTGAGGAGGAGGGTCACAAGCTGGAGTCCAGCCTGAGCAATTTAACAAGACCCCATCTCAAAATTTTATTTATGTAAAGGAGTTGAGGATGTAGCTCAGTGGTACAGTGCTTGTCTTCTGTGTACAGTGTTGGTTTCAAACCTCAGTGAAAATAAAGAGCAAATAAATAAAATAGTAGCCACACAACATTTAATGGGCCAGCCTGAATAAAGCAGCTATATGTGCAGAGAATGAAATAAAGGGCGACTATCAGTATCATTAGATTTTCCCCTAATACAAATAAGAGGAAATTCATGAGGTAAAAGAAAGAAATTCACAGGCAGGGGAGATTGCTCAGTAGAATAAGCACGTCCTGGGCTGGAGAGATGGCTCAGTGGTCTAAAGCACCTACTTGAAACAAGCTTGGCAAAGCACAGGG